CGTAGCTGATTAAGGTGGCGGCGTGTGGCCTTTCCACCAATGTCGACGAGCCATGACCGCAAACCTATGCGTTTGAGTGCCGTCGCTTCAACCCAGCCGGGCTTTCTGTGGAACTGGCAGGCGTATATGCGCTGTCCACTTTCAATTCTCTTGCTATGCGGGAGCTTTTCTTCCTCTGACTGGTGCTTTCGCTGAGGGCTCCGGGACAATTGCTGTCAGCTGGGTTCCCATTTCTCGCCCGAACATCAATTTCGCTGGCGTTTCATAAGTAGTGCTTTGAACAGTGTTGTGCTGTCTGAAGAGAAAGCAGCGCGATGCGACGTTGCATTGTCCCAGTCTGGTCTTTTGTAAGGGCGCGCTTTAGCTCAGCCACGTAGCGCTCGGCTTGTCCGTTCGTAGCCGGGTGGTAAGGAGCTGATGTAACAGACGAGACGCCGTTGTCGCTGTAAAGCTTGAGAATCTCCGTGGACACAAACGGAGTGCCGTTGTCCGAGACCACCTTGCGCGGTAGGCCAAACGTTGCAAACAACGACCGCAGAGTGTCGATAACTGCTGCCGATGTCGTTGTAGCCATTTGTTTTACCTCCAGCCACTTAGTGTATGCGTCTACAACCACCAGGAACGAACACCCTTCGATAGGTCCAGCAAAATCAATGTGCAGGGTGTGCCAAGGCGTGTCTGGTCTTTCCCATTCAGGAATAGGGGCTCTTGGCGGGCTTCTGTGGTCGCCTTGGAAAGGCTGACAATCGTGAACTGGTAATTCTATATCATGGTCGATACCAGGCCACCACATATAACTTCTGGCGCACTTTTTCATGGCAACAATGCCTCGATGACCTGCGTGGACAAGCGACATGGCCTGTTCGCGAAGTGCCGCTGGAATTACAACTCTTGATCCCAAGGGGATGCAACCGCGATGAATGCTCAACTCCGCAGCTCACTTGCGGTAAGCGTTGAAGTGTTCACCTTTTAGCTTCTGCACGTTGCCTTCTTGTATAGCTGCGTAGACTTCCTTCAAGACAGCGCACTCCGGCGTTGATGCTGCTACCGTGTCAGCTGTTAGCGGAGGGTTCGGCAGCGCCTCGAACATGAGTATATCACCCGGCGGGGGTGGTTCATTTATTGTAGTGTCTACCGGCAGGCGGCTTAGTGCGTCGGCGTTCTAGTGTTTCTCCCCCGTGCGATGTACGAGTTCGTAATCGTACGCCGACATCTTGATGCACCATCGTGTCATTCGCGGCGGCAATGTCTGTGGCATTGGCTTCTGGGGAACCATAATACCCAATAAGGGCCGGTGATCTGTTATGAAAGTCACTTTCCTGCCGGTGATGTACTGCCGAAAGTGATCTGCTGCGTAGACGATGGCAAGTCCCTCTTTATCTAGTTGGGAATAATTCCTCTCTGCCTGCAATAGGGTGCGCGAAGCAAAAGCGATCGGGGCTTCCCGTTCCTGGTCGTCAACTTGGGAGAGGACTGCTCTCACCCCGTATGGTGATGCGTCACATGCTAGCAGTAGGGGTCTCCTTTCGTCGTAGTGTCGCAGAACAGTAGACTTGCGAAGTAGTTGCTTAAGGGCAACAAATTGACTCTTGGTGGCGTGTCGACCAAGTCTATGGGACTTCTTTCTGCAAGAGCTGATATAGATCGTTGGCCACTGTAGCTCGATGTTCTCAGAACTGGTCGTAGAACGTCAATAGCCCCCGAAAACGACTGCAGTTCTCGCTTGTTAGTAGGCGCTCGGGCTTCGGTGATTGCACGCACTTTGTCTTCAGTGGGATAGATACCCTGCACGTCAATTTGGTGTCCAAGAAACTTCACTTCAAGCCCCGCAAAAACACAATTTTCTTTACTGATGCGCAAAGTAGCATTTGCTAGCCTTTCCAAAATGAGCTCCAAGCGTTCTGCGTGCTCTTCATTGGAGGCGCCACCGACAATAACATCGTCCAAGTAGACGCAAACACCTGGGATCCCGCTAAGTGTAGACTCCATAAATTTCTGGAAGATTGCTGGCGCTGCAGATATTCCGAATGGTAGCCTTTTAACTTTGTAAAGACCCTTAATAGTGTTTATTGTGAGCAGTTCAGACGTTGATTCGCTCACCTTCAGCTGCTGGTAGGCTTGTGTCAAGTCCAAGGTGCTGACGATTTTTCCACCACGAAGCGGGCTAAAAACCTCTTCTGGTGTCGGCAGTGGGTAGGAAGATGATTTTGTCGCCAGGTTGACAGTGCTCCGGTAGTCTCCGCAGAGGCGTAGGGTACCGTTCTTCTTTCGGAGGACAACGAGTGGTGTCGCCCATTCCGAATGTTGCGTCGGTTCGATGATCCCTTGTTCCTGCAGTCGGTCAAGCTCATTCTCGACTGACGTTCGTAGGGCGAAAGGCACTTACCTAGCTTTCAAAAATTTCGGCGTCGCATCCTCCCGCAGCTCCAGTGTGACTGGAGGTCCGTTGTTCCCTGGTATTTCATCGGAGAAAACCGCTTTGTACTTATCTTGCAGCTGCTCCACTGACACATAACTGAGTGTGTGGTGAACTCCGCCAATGACCACTCCAAGAGGGGTGAACCAATTTCGTCCTAAAAGGCTTGATTCAGAACCGTGGACAACTAGCAAGGGGAGCTGATGGGTCTGCCCGTTGTAGTACACGTCTACGTTGGCCCAGCCCAGCAGTGGAAGGGAATGTCCGGACCACGTTCTCAGCTGCGTGTCGTCTTGCTGGAGAGCTGGCGCGTTCTCACGCCAAGTAGCGCGAAAAGTGTCCTCGCTGATCAGCGTACATGCTGCTCCGGAATCCACCTCAAACCTGATAGGGCGCTGGTGTACCATAAGTTCAGTTGTAATCTTCGGTCTCGTTCCGAGGTTCACAACGGCGTTTTAAGTCATATAGTGCCGATGACGTTAGGGCTGTTCGGCTTGTATCTTGCGTCTGGCCCTCCTGTGCGTCGACATTGTTGTTCTGTTGCACTGAAGTCTTCGGTCCGAGCTGTTTGCGCTTCGAGATGCATGCCTTTTCAATGTGTCCCAGTTTTTGGCAAAAATTGCAGGTCGCTGTCTTGTATCGACATACCTGGGGATCGTGCATGTCGTCGCATCGCCAACAACGCTGTGTCTTTCTGCTTGATTTCGCCTTAGACGTGGAATGACCTGACTGCTGACTGGTGTGATGCACCGGCTCGACGTTCCGTCGAATATCCCTCTGCTGGTGACCGGCAATCTCCGCTCATTGGGCGATGTCGTAGGCTTTGGAGAAGGTGAGACCCGTCTCCGCGAACAGGCGTTGTTGTAGGCCTGCGTCACGCAGTCCGCACACAAAACGGTCATGCAACATAACGTCCAAGGGGAGCATAGTGGTGTTAGCAGGTAGGGCAGTCGATCCTCCCTCCTGCGCAGTAGCTGCAGCTGTTGCGGTCAACGTCCCGAAATTGCAGTCAGCAGCGAGCTTTTTGAGAGCCGCTACGTGTTCGGCCACTTTTTCGCCTTCCAGTTGGTCTCGCCGTTGGAAGCGGGCTCGACAGTAGACCTCCGATGGCCTTGGGTCATAGTGCTCTTGTAGCGCTGCTACGATGTCGTCGTAGTCAACGGCTGCTGGAGTGCGTGGCTGAATCAGGGTACAGACTGTGTCGTATGTCTGCTCCCCACACAGCGTTAGCAGGTTGTCCCTCTTCATTGCTGCATCAGTGATGTTGTTAGCCTCGAAGTAAAATTGCAGGCGTCCAAACCACGATGACCATGATGAGCCGTTGAATTCGGGTAGCCGATTTGGGAGCCCGTGCGTAGCCATAGCTTGTAGCTTGTCAATATCGTTGCGCAGCGTTGGTCCAAATCCACTTCCTCATCGCCACTGTTATGTCCGGTGTTGTCGTCGGCCCATAGACGTACGCGTTGGTCGCGGTAGTCCAAAAAGCTCAGACAGCCTCGAACGGTTAAAAATAGGTTTATTCCTATTCGGATGGAGGCGGCGGCTGAACTGGCCGGGGGAAACGACGGTGGCTCGTTTGCGCCGAGCGGGGGAAGGGGAGGAGTCAACATCTGGAAGCAGTTAAGCAACCGGTCCTTTGCGGGTTCAAAGGCTCGCTCGTGCCACAGGGTAGCTTGAAACACAACAGTATGTATGTATGTATGTATGTATGTATGTATGTATGTATGTATGTATGTATGTATGTATGTATGTATGTATGTATGTATGTATGTATGTATGTATGTATGTATGTATGTATGTATGCATGCATGCATGCATGCATGCATGCATGTATGCATGTATGTATGTATGTATGTAATCCTATCAAACTAAACCACACGCAACACGCGTCCACGCCATCTAGTGATCACGTCACGCACTGCAACAGCGCAGCGCATTTTATAGTGAACAGTGTGAAAAGTAAGGGGTGGCTACTACAGAGGACGGACTGAGCCACAGCGCAAAAAGCTTTGCCCTTAAAAAATATAAACATGCTGTAGGCTCACTTGGGCTCACTCGCACCAATATCAAAACATCCAGCCTATTTGCGTTCCACATGCGTTCTACGTTTTGCGCGAACGAAAATAAACGCGTGACACGCTGATAATGTGTGAGAGTTGGCTATAGTTTATTCTCAAAAGTACAATTAAGGTCATTGTAAAACATATGTTATGCCGAAAAGGAAATACAACTTGTAATTTCCGCGAAGGTAGTGTCAGATTACCATTTCTTTATTTATATTTATTTGTTTAACTATTTATTTATTAGATATACGGTCTGTTTTTACACGGGGCTATCAGAGGAGTAGCAAAGAAATATATAACAATAATTCTACTAAAACCATAACTATATTGTGTTTCGACACATATACAAAATTAAAAGCACATTGAGACATAAGCAGACAATGAAATAAATGCAGCATATCACATAACGCAAATATCACTCTGCTTGTGAGAAATCAGAATACGAGCTATATGCGAATATGAATTATACACGTATAGAGGCGATGTATTGTACTCGTGTACACCTCTCTCGAACCCTCGAGTCACGTGACGGTGGTGACCGAGCCGAGAAAGAGCACCAGGTCAGGCTTCTTGTTGAGCACGACGAACATGAAGGGCCGATCTACGGCCACCTTCTTGGTGACGACGAGCGCCGGCGGCGACTGACCGGTCATCGGGACTGCCGGTCGAGCACCGCCGGCCTGGCTGACGTGGATGGTGGCCACGTGACGGATGCTGGACACATGAACGCCCTTGTCGGTGGCCGGCGTCATGCGGTCAAGCAGCGCCTCTCCCGCGAACGCCTCGCGAACGCCCAACGAAGGCAGGACCTGAGTGAGGTCGGTCACCTGCCTGCGGAAATCGTGCAGCCGCGGAATATAATGGCATGCGGGTTCAGGGCCTTACCTTGAAGTGTTCGTGTCACGCCCACGAAGGCTGTTCGCAATGCTCAGCGCAAAACATGCCGTAATACTCGAGTATATATTTTCACAACTGTTTGGTATCATTCTGGGAAGATTACGCGCAGGACGAGAATTCGCAAGCGTCAGTGTTAACGCTAGAGCCTTCGACGCCGCACGTGAAATTGCTTCATCACTGGACAGCATTTAACCTTTTTTTTTAATATTCCCCTCTTCTCTCCACTTCCTCTTTACCCCATTTACCCCTTTCTCTGTGCACTACTGCTGAGGTGTCCTCCCCTGTGAGTGACAGTTGCGGGGAGCACTCTCGGTCCATTTGTAGATCACACATCCTAAACTCTACAGCTAATAAGTAGCTAAGTCAACTTGGGGTACAAGTGCCAGTGGTGGTGCTTACGGTGATGCCAGCGGTTGTGTGCCGACCAACTCCAAACATCGAATGGCTAGGCCACGACTTCATTACAATCGTAGCTCTGCCCATTGCCGGGATTCAATCACGTGACGTGCGGGTCTGCAGCAGAGTACTTTAGCCGCTAGACCATCACGGCGGGGCGCGCTCTGCTACACCGTTTGTACTAACAGCACCCCCCCCCCCCTTCTTTCTTTACCTTTCAGCTCGCGTGTATAGCGACAACGGCTGAATCCGAGCGCTTCTGGGGACAACGGAGGAATTCAAGATAGGCCCTGGTTACATATTGGAATTCAAGGTACTTTTTTCGTACCGACTCTTCATACAAGATCAGTTTCGATGAGAATAAAATGCAAGAACTCGTGTATACCTAAATATCGCAGGACGTCAAACAATCGGCTAGCAGTTGTTCCGTGTACGAATACATACGATTCGTGGAGCTGCTTAGAAACGTGATGCAAGCAGCCATGCGCCTGATCTCGCTGCTGACTTTCATGAAGGCCGCAGGTTGGCGAGCGGATGGGGAGAGTCTGCTGCGCTAGGTTGGCGGGAACGACCAAGTAAGTGAGGGTGTGGCGCGCGCGGCGCAGCACGAGCCATCTACAGCCGGGAGCGCGCGCCAGTTGTTTTGCTCGGCGCGCTTGCCCGGTGAGCTTGCCCGGAGCAGGGAGCTTATGAGAAGCCCACCTCGTTAACCAATACACGCGCCTTGCACAGACCCATTCAGGTCACCACATCTTGGACCGAATACGACCGCTATATTGAGGAAAGGGTGAGAGTGCCAGAACCTTGGAGATGCGCCATCCAGGTCCGACCCCTTCCCTGCAACATGTCCAAAGAAAACCACAGTGGTTGCCACCAGGCGCACGCGGAAGCGTTGCAGTGACCCTTTGGTCAAGAGGAACACGTGTGCTACGTGGACGTTGCCGGCCCGCACCATGGGGGGTGGTATATGGCCGCAGCCATACACAACGCAAACACCGTAAATGGGCTCACTTTCAAAGCCTACAGCGCAACACACGCAGAGGATATTGCCATCGCTCTGGCTCTCGCCTATCCCTCTTCTAAACACATCCTCACCGACTCATGAGGGGCTTGTTGGAACTATCAGCTAGGGTGGGCTTCACCGCTTGCTCAGCACATACTGGAACCTAGCTGCCGATAGTTAAATACATCTCCGCGAAATCTGGTTTGGGCACCCGGTCACCATGGACTCAGGGGTAACAAACAGGCCGATCAGGCCGCCCGTGCACTCTCTTCCCAGGCTGTCTCCCAATCAGACAACTCCACCCTTTCATTCAAAGATATTACCAATTACTACAAGGAGGAGCACCGGCGCTATCCACACCCTTGTAAGGGACTGCATCACGCTGACGAGCGCCTCCTTTTATAACTGTTTACCAATACTGTACTGTGCCTGGCGGGGCTAAAACATTTCAATTCATTCTTTGATGGCACGTGCCAGTTCTGTGGTGAGGTGGCTGACACCTTCCAGATCGTCTGGGCGCGCCAGTCTGATCCATCTATTCCCCCCCCCCCCAACCCCTACCCCACGAGAGCGAACTGGGAGGTGGCTCTGCTCGATTGTGAAGACCTGAAGGCCCAAAAGGCCTTGGTTCAACGGGCGCGGGCGGCATTGATTGCCAATGGAGCTCCTGAATAGGGGTTCCACCTAGTGCTGCGAGGGTAGGAGGCCAATATGGCCCCAACCCAATCACCTCTCTGTAACCATTTAATGGTTATTAAATGTGTCACCACCACCACCACCATACGGCGAAGGCGGAGACGGCGGAGTGTGAGCGAGTCCAAAAAGCTTTCGCTCCTAAAACGTAGTCTGAACCTTCCCTCGATGGTGTACCTCATAATAAAGTTTTAATTTGCTCGCAAACTTCTCTGCGTTATCGTTGTGTCGGATTACCATAGTCGCGAAAGTGAGTGATTGGATAGGTGGCTTTTTCTGGTGGGACCGGGATGTACCACGCAGGCACAGAATCGGTATTGCGGCAATTTGGCGCGTTCTGCTTCTCTGCTGGTGTAAATTCTAAGCAGTGGCCTAATATCGAATGAATTTTTTTAAAGCTTATTTCTGTCAACACTAAGTGAAAACAAATGGTTCTATCACTGGACCAGTACAGAGAAGGACAAGATCTGGTAACCGTTACCGTACACCAGTATTTCGTAAAATCCTTTACATACACCGGAATACCGCAAAACGTAAAAAACCTCGAATTATGTGGTTATTTTGACCACTACGTCTCCAGACATGGTTAACTTATAGCAATACTAAAATTTCACCATGATACAAGGTCTGCTTATTTAACAAGTATTTGTTACTTTCTCGCAATAATGCGTAAAACGAAACCAGTGGTAGAAATTTGGCACGTGCCTGATGGTAAATTTGGGCAACGACAGCTCGACTTCACCAGCGTCCCGCAGTTGGTCAATGGAGCGCAGCAGTAGTGGAGCGCTGACCTTCTCCTCGACGCTGGCGAGACCGCCCGGACCGGTGGGCAGGAGGATGAGCAGGCAGTTGTGCGGATTTTCGTATGGCACTTCAACCAGCGTCGCCTCCAGCTCTGCGCATTCGACCGTGCGGAAAGGAGCCGTGCAACGCATCGTGGGTACCCTGCACGTGTAAACGCTCCTGAGAAGTGCGCCATTTGCGACATTTCATCAAAGCCCTAGATGATTCATCAAACGGAAAACGTGATCGTTGACATACACATGAAATAGTGAATTAAGTAATAATAATGTAATGGCGGAATCATGACGTCCCGGATTTTCATTATTCTGACTTCACTATGACGTTCTCGAGTATGAAGTCCAGTGATGACGTCTTCAGATAACATGGTTGCTTGATCAAAAGGGAGCCAGCTTTGCGGACATTGCAGTGCCAAAAGCTCGCAACGCCTGAGGTCCAAAACTTCGCTTGTTGCAGGAGGCTGAAGAGGGAGGGGGGCTGTATGATTGACCGACAAGAAGCAGGGAAACACCCCCTCCCCTCCTTTCATTTCTTGCTCTAACCTTTTTAACTATCTCGGTGCTTGTGATGACCAGCTTTCATGATTGTGGCCCACTTGCCAAGTTGAGTTACTGGATACTTGATACTTCACGGATGGTGACTATGTGCCCGCGTTCGTCGCACTCACTTGGTATCGCTGGTCATTTCTCCCGGCATCCGATGGAAGATGCCCTTGGAGACCGTGAATCGCCTTTTCCACCGTCCCTCCAGTCGAAGTGACGTCAACAGTACCACGAGTGTGTCGGGACCCACAGAGCCAGGCGGGAACACCTGTTCCCTGGGTACCGAGAACGAGCTGATGGCCCTGGCCAGTGCGTCCATAGTGAGCCGGTTCTGGTCACTGCTGTTGCGGAAGTCGCGTCGGTCCATGAAGTAGCACATGGTGTCCTGCAGTCTGCGATAGTGATACGGTGCACGGAAGGGTATAATGCGCGCACATGTTTAACTTTATGAATGAGACAAGCTCAGAGTATTAACCATAGGTGTACGCCAGCTGCGGCAATGTAAGACGGCCGTAGCACAATACTCCGATAGCATTGCACCTCCATTTTAAATGGAGAGAGCAGCCCCTCCGTATACTACTCGGATATATCCTACAAGTTGACAAACATCTTCAGCTATGCCGTGGCACGTACCTGTAGTAGTCCTTGTGTACGGGTATCGACTCGTCGAAGAACACCGTCATGAGGCAGGTGATTCTGAATCCCAAGCGGCGCATCTTGGCACGCTCGAACTCTCGGAACAGTTCGGAAGCCGTCTGCTCAAAGCGGTCTGCAGTCCCTGAGGTGTCCCACTCCATGTGCAGGGCCTTGGCTATCTACTCGAAAACAGTGGTTGGTTGGCATCTAGCAATGTGAGTCTATAGTTACCTACAACCTACTAAGAGCGAAGCTATTGTAGCTTGGCGTGAATTGCCTTTCTAGACTTCAAAGCTATCGTCTTCATCAACGGGTATGTGCTAAAACTGCGCTAATCTCGCTACTTTACTCTGGTCTACTAAAAAAGAGGCAACAGACGGATGACACCCACCACTTGTCGGAGAGATTTGAGCCCGCGTACTGACGATGCAGAATGTAAGCGTCTCAACCATCCGACTATCCAGGCGCGCTGGCTGCGCATGGCATATACTTGCAACGTATGGTCTAGGAAGGTGGTATACGAAAGGTAAGGGAAGGTTAGGAAAATAGAGAAAAGGCGAAAAGAGACTGAAGCATGTCACGTCAATATTGAGAAAAAAGAAATAGAGTAACAGAGAGAAAAAAACTGAGAAAAGATAAAGAAATAGAGAAAAAATGATTAAAAGAATCAAGAAATAAATTAAAAGTCTGATAAAGAAAGAAAAGGAAGACAACAGACAGAGAGAGAGAGAGGTAGACCAATAGAAAAAGGCAGAGACTGCTGCGCCTCGCGGCGCACGAGCCACCCCCACACAGAAACGGCTGCTGCGCCGCACGGAAGTGACGTCATGCATTTTTCGGTTAGGCGCTTTGTTTTAATAGTCGGGAGTGTCTAGCGGTACGTCTAGACATAACGATAAAAGCAGTTAAAATTACGTCCAAACGAAAAAAGTGAACAAAAATGCTAGTTAGGTTTAGCATGACAACAATACAAGACCTGCTTGTTTGCCATCTCAAACTGATCGGCAGCTGTGGCGTAGTCAAATAAAGAAAAAAAGGCAGCTGTGGCGTAGTTGGTTAAAGCAACACATCAACTGGTGAGGTCGGTGGTTCAAGTCCCATTGCAGTTATCGATACTTTCTTTTTTTTTTTGTCCACACATGTATTGTAACATTTGCGCCTCTTTATCAGCCTGACTTGCTGGTGGTGGTGGTTCCGTCCACAGGCCCTTTAATATTGGATCTTCGATGACTCTTGCAGGATTGACTATATTATGATAAAGTGTTTTGCGAATTAGTGCTCTTAATCGGCGAGACGCAAAAAGACACAAAAAAAAACACGAATGCAGCTGGCTGCATTGATTTCTTTGGCACAGGTGTTAAGAATGTTGATTTCCACGGTTTATCAAAGTTTTGATGATAGAAAGGTGCACTGCAACGTAGTCTTGGACAACTTTTTTTTTTTTATGTCGCTCAGTGTACCATCACCTGACGAGGTAACCGGCAGGCCGCTTTCTTTGAAAATACTGACGTGTCACTGCAATGTTCTAGGCGATCAGCACTTGATAAACAATGCCCAAGGGCAAGTGCCGACGGCGTTAGCCCATCTAACTACAAAACAGGTTCTCTGCCTTGCTCAATAACACGCGCGGCCTGTGACAGCACGGGAGCATTCACGTAGCAACGAATGTGAACGGCCGTACGTGTTCGCACTTGACAAAACAGACGGCAGTGCAGTAGCTCTGGCCTTCGTAGATCACAGGCTTCGTAAGAACATTACAATAAAGTTGTTTCTATCCACCGTATGAACACTTCGCCGACGCACTGGGGTTTCATGCATGTGCGTCCGGTAAGTCACACGTGAACAGTGCGAAAGCATTTATTTCATCGTCGACCTTGTCCTTTGCGACAAGCAAAACTCGGCAGCAAGAACGCTTTCACCTTTGACAACACCACGCTTGGCATTGCAATCTAGAAAATGCAGTACGTCCATCAACTGTAATCCGCACATCATACTGAGAAACTTTATAGCGCACACACTCGGATGAAGCTGCGGCGCGGTGGACGGCCGCGCTAGCTCCAACCACCAGGGTCAACTAAGCATCCAGCAATCACATGAAGCAGCGACGACACTCCAGTCCTCCTAGGGAGTGGCCTAGGCCATGGCCACGATTTCATTGGAGTTTTCACCACCTAACACATCACAGGCGGCTACCATCCAAGGAGGATACATAAAACTTGCTGGAGTGGAAGCCGCCTATGCGCCGCTACGGGAGAGAGTGAAGCCGCGCCGAGCATGCGGCGGCCATGTTGCCAGTGGCAGAAAAGAGCCGAGCGCTGCAAATTTACTGCTTCACCGCGCTGCGGGTAAAGTGACTCGTGTGTTTATAAAGCAACGAAAACAAGTAACTCTGGTTGTAAATGTTTATTGCGACTTGTACGCAGCCAAGTGGCATATAGAGAACTCAAAGTGCATATGCATCAAATCGCGATGCCTAAAGCAAACACATAATCAAAAACATAGGTGCCCTACTGGTGGTTGAAAATTATTGTCCTTGTCAAAAGTGGTCCCACCTTACTTTTGACCGATTCTCGGTTTTTTTTTTCCTTCGTTATGTGTTGTATCTTCACTTTTACGTATTGTTCAGCGATTTGCCTGCACAAACTGTAAACCTGATTATCAAGCGTATCAAAGTCTAGGACGTGCTGCTCCAGTTTATGGAACCAGTTTTTCTTGGAGGAAGCTCATAGATTTTTCAGGATGAGGTGTCTTGCTCTTGACTTCACCGTTGTGATGGAATCACATTCAGCCTGTAGCCACCTCAGTCCTCGACTTCTTTAACAGGGGCTAATGACATCTCGCGACGGTAAACAAGACCTCCTCACCTCTTACATTTAATTAAAGGTGTCAGCTCATCTGAGTGCATGGCTGCTATGCACTCTTCACAGGTAGTTGCAGTTCGACCTTTCGAACAATGAAGCCTGCTATGTATGGCACCACGGAATCGACAAAAGCAGAAAAGCTTTCGGGCTAGTCAATGCGATGCGTATTGTCGTGGTCATCGAGCTGCAGGAATGGGGCTTAGCGCATGTCAGTGAGATTGCTTTTTGGATGTACCATGGCGGCAGGAGTCGTTGCATTCAATACGGAGAGAACATCTTGGGAGCAGTGTCCAGAACTTGAAGACGGACTTCCGTCTGAACCAAGAGACGCTTGTATGCAGCCATAAACTGCGAAGCTGTTGGGTTGTTGTTATGGCCGCCTCATCCACGTATTGATTCAAAGAAGTTTTCAAAGAAGTTTTCGGCATAGTCTTGACTGAGTTTGTGTGTCAGTAAGTATTTCAGCTGACCCTGGCTGACAAGTCTGTCAAACATTCTTTCGGTGCTTGCCATGCATATCCAAAAACCAATGAATCCATTTTTTTTCAGTCCTTCTGTCACTGCCGGATCTCTCAGCCCGTTTATGTACGTTCGAGTCTCCACAAAAAAAAAAAACGACTTCCAGAATGCTTTGTTCCCTTGCCGAAGGGGCGCTTTGTACGACCTTGCCAGCGGGTTCCTGGAGTTTAAGATGTCAAACAAGCCATCAAAAGTTCTAATAAACGTAGATCTTGTGCTGGCACCCTTGAATTGCGGCAGCTTTTGTTCGCAGAAGTCCAAAGCGTCGGCAACTGAGGCACTCGTTCAGTTGTACAGCATATCACACCTTCATTTTTTTGCTTTTCCCATTGGACGTGGACTTTCGTAAGTTTGTTTCCGAGCCACAACCCTTCTTCACGTTGAAGTGCCTTCAATGCCACTTCATAACCCCATTTCACATGCTTCCCTTCAATGTCAAAGAGGTGGTCAAAGCACTCTGGCGCGAAGTGCACAGAGTGAAGTGATCTCAGTCTTTCGCATTCTACTTCTCACGGCAAACGGCCCACTCCCAGAGGCTCCGCGTTACGGGATTTTTAGTAAATCTGTAAAACAAATCTGGACTGTTATGTTTTGCACGTTTAGATCGCGTCAGCTATAGCTCCCTTTAGTAAAGAGCGCGTAATGGCTATGCCGAAGACGTTTTCGTGTACGTACAGGTGGAATGTGAGGCCACAACCTTTTTTCAACCTGTCGGCACATCCGTAAATGACGCAAGAGGCAACCATTGTAAACCATTTGTCTTTACAAGCCGAAATGAAACAAGAAGGGACGAAAGCTCGTGAGGCGCTGAACGCTTTTGCAAGAGGCGCGGCTGTCGCACAGGTCCCTTCACTCCAAGTTTATGTACCTCTCTACATCTCGCAGTGTTTCCTTTTCGCAGGCTGGCCCCCTGTAAATATACTTAATAATTTACGTTTAAATAAAAACCTAGGCATGAAAAAGCTTCCCATACACACGAAAATTACCACACTACTTTGGCTAATTTTAAACTGCCGTCCTTCGTGCGGCGCGGAGCCACTCTGTGGGCGCTGCTGCGCACGCGGTGCAGAGAGCATAGAAAAAGACGTAGAGGAGAGAGGGTAAGAAAGAAGCAACGAAACAATACGTCAACCCCCCCCGACTCCTTGGCAACAATAGATGAAAGATCATCCCCGCATCCTTTGCATGCGCCTTCCGACGCTAAGATGTAAAATTGCATGTCGATGAACAAAGGACCAAGAGAGACGTTAATGAAATAAATTATTCTTATGTGGAGTGTTTTATTCGAGGGCCCACTGGCACGAGCCGCCCGCTCGAACTGCTGATCGGCGCTCTCTGGCCGGTCAGGTCGGAGCAGGACAGT